CTAAACAGCCTACAGTATTTTTAGAGTCTTTTACAGTTAAAATATATGTTTATTAAATAATGTCTAATGTTACAACTAATCGGGGATCCCTTTAACTTACAGACAAACCCACACGTGCAAAAACGTTATTGTCCGCCTTCAACTTTCACCTTTCAAATTGACATTACTTCATGTGTGTTGGTCAGAGAATCATGAACAGAAATCGTAATAAATTAGTTTTAGAGGCAGAAATATTTAAATGAATCATTTTTGCTGCTCAGATCTACTTTTGGGAGTTCCAGCGGAAGAACGAGACYGAGCGGCTGCGGACCCTTTTCATGCCGGAGCGCGGCGTGAAACTGAAGAACTTGACTGGCTACACCACCTACATGATCAGCGTGGCCCCCTTCAACGCCGCCGGGGATGGGCCCCGGAGCCCACCGACGAGGGGCCGCACCCAGCAAGCAGGTACAACCTCCCGTTAAAAACATCAATGGAAATGCAAATTCTCTAATCAGCCGTGAAAGAGCAGAGCAGCCTGGATTAAGTGCAATCAGGCAAGACAAGTATTTCTGTCTGAGGGGAACAGAGACATGATGCTGCGGGAAGAAYGAGACAAATGTAACAGAACGACACGACAAAAGCAGATAAATTGGAGCGTGCGCGATTATGTTTGCTCATTAGTCACGTTTCCGTGCTGGCGGCGGCGCTGGTGTTAGCCTGGAGAGCCCGAAGAGTTCTCTCAAAGCAGGCGAGCCAGCCCCGAGGAGAGGAATTTGATGTGACAATGATGCTAATAACTGTTGTCAGCATGTCAAACAGTGTTAGCACAATGACACAACTGAGCATAAGCTTCAAATCAGCTGACCCCAGTCACCAAACATTCACTGATGTTTGGGTTTCGTCTGAATTGTAGACGGTATGAAAATACGCAGACGCGACCCTTTTTCTCTCTCCTCGCTTTCCGATTCCTTTCTTCTCCACCCTGACTCACGGGACCCCTGCTTMTTCTCCCGACTGGAGACGCGTCAAAACAACGTTCGGCTCTCAATAAAACATACAGTACTTGGTGGGAGGCTTTTTGATGGGCCAAGTCTCAGACAAGGAAAAGTTTTAAAACAAGCGTGTTTACAGCTTCTCAGTTACCCCGGTGAGGTCGGTGACAGGCAGGAAGATGTTGGGGGAAGAAGCACCCGGGGAGACAAGAGACATGTCCCATCTTTTCAAAAAAAAAAAGCTTCTGCAAGAGTCTCAGCTCCAGATTGTCAAGTTTAAAGACAATCGAGGGCAAACTATGTTCCAAACAGGAGCTCAGCCGTTTGGAATGAGGTGTAGAGGCTCCTCGCCGAGGATTGCTGTGACCTGGGTCAGACAGTGTTTGTCAGTGAAGAAGACCCTTTTAACCCGATTTTATTTTAGCAGTGCTGCGAAGTTGGCCCGATCAATGTTGTTCAGTTTTGCGAGCAAGGACACAGACTCAGTTCAGAGATCCGAGAACTGGAAGTTGCAGATCTGCAGCATTCACACTTTACCAGTTCTGCCTCTTTTGTTGTTGAACGTTTGCAAACAGCGAGCTGTGGCAAACACGCTCACCAATCTGTTGGCAAACTTGCAAATATGTCTCTGAGTCCTTCTTGTATTGATTACTATTTGGATCTATTTAAAATGCTGAGCTTTACTTTGCTTCGAGGCAGAAAAACATCACAAACATTTTTCTTTTTTTGTGTTTGTATCTAAAATTTTGTCTCTCAAACAGCCATTTTTTTAACTAAACACCTACTATTCCTTAAAGGGGACATATTATATATTTTCTAGGCACATAGTTCAATTCATTTCAATTGAAAAATACTTTATTGATCCCAGCGGGAAATTAGGGAAATTTTATACCACATTTAAGTCACTGTTACCTTCAGCTGTTATGAAGAGGCTGTTTATATAAAAAAATACATTTGGCTTTGCATCTAAATGCCTTGAAATTAGCCTCTGTATCTTCAAGAACCTCCTACCGTTTCAGACACTCCCACTTCAGCACYTCTTCCTAAGAATGCTTCAGAGGAGGGGGTGCTCTGTGGGGCGGGAGCTCGGCTGGGGACTGAGCTCCAGGGTGGAGCTTTGGGTAAAATAGGCGGAGCTTTGTACCAGCAGTCGTTTAGGCAGCTCCACATGTCTACCACAGGAGATTCAAGGATTTCTCAAACATGCATGAATGGGTCAAAGCATTACTCTGGGTATGTTTTTGATAATGAAATGATATTGTATATGAAATAAAGTTAATAAAAGTCAGTTTTGCATAACCCCCCATCACCCGTTTTCTATTTGCCAGAGTTTTCGACTAAGATCTTTTTGTGTCGAGAAATGCCAGAATCAGAGGTCTGGTTTGATCAGTTGAAACATCCAAGTTGAGGATAAATCTCAGCTARTACCAAACCAAATATCAGCTCAGTTTCTGTAAAGRTGACCAGGTTGTAGGCTTGGGCACTATGACAGTATTTTGGTATACTACGTATTAAAATATGGTGACYGTATTTAAACATTATGACTACATTAGTTGATGCACAAAATGTTCCACAAAGCTGCCATGAAAACTGAACCACTTCAGTCCATTCAGAAGACAAACGGGAGYGCAGAGACACAAAGACACCCCCGTCTGTCGTGCCTCACAACCTCCAAGCGAAGTGGTGACAAACTTTACTCGCCTACTCCTGAAAAGGTGGGCCAGTGTATTATTTGTAGTGTAGGTATTTTCTAAAGGTTATACCGCGGCATGAAAATGATCAYTACCACCCAACCCTATCAGACTGTCACCATTTTTGTGTTTGRTAAAGTCACTTTGCTCRTCCYGARATCTCGACTCTAAATGCTGATAAAAACACAGATGAGCTCACTGATTATCACCTGTGTCTCCTTTGATCTTTGACCTTTGCACATTCCAGCTCCCAGCGCTCCAAGTTTCATTCACTTCAGCGAGCTGACCACCACCTCGGTCAACGTGTCCTGGGGCGAGCCTACCTTCCCTAARGGCATCATAGAGGGCTTCCGTCTGGTCTACGAACCCTTAACACCTGTAGACGGTAATACCTCATTTTTACCGACTTGAACTTTCCCTGCTCAGAATGGCTGCTGGTTTGTACTGGGAATTTGCACTGAAAAGGGAAATTTATGTTTTTTTTAGATTAAGTCAGTTGGACTTTGTRGAACTCCTGCTGTGTGCAAATGTCTTGAACTAAAAGCCAACATCACATTGACCTGAACAGCTCATTTGTCATTGTGACTCATTACAAAATTACTGCTCGCCTCCTAAATAATTAATGACAACTATAACAGAACAATTTKATTTCTGTGCATGTGTGAGTGTGCACTTGTTGAGTCTGCTCTCCCTCCCGTCGGCTGGCCTGTGTAAGATCTGCTTTAAATGTGGTGTGTTTGTCTAGACTCCTCAGTGGCCTGTGCCGACTGTCTTCACTCCCCCTCACCCCCAGGCGTCAGTAAGACAGTGACKGTGGACGTGAGGGGGAGTGGGCCCCTCTGGCTGAAGCTCCGAGACCTGGCGGATGGCGTCACGTACAACTTTCGGATCCGGGCCAAGACCTTCATCTACGGGCCGGAAGTRGAGTCCAATATCACCACGGGACCAGGAGAAGGTAGCAGCAAGGAAGTTTTAGAATTTAAGGGACGGATTTTTGTCACGTGGGGTAGGGTGGAGTAGTCATGAGCGGTCACTGTCTCACTCGCAGTAGACAGCYGTCGAAGCTGTCAGTTAGCTGTGGTGATGTTTATCCAACAAATACTTTCTAAAGGTTTCAATAAAATCTGTCCACTAGTTTGAGATATTTTGCTGACAAACAAAAAACAGTTAAGGCTGAAATCTTGAACAAAGATCTTGCTCATTACCACTCTACAAAACTTATTTTTAAAGGGAACCCCGACTAGCTGTAACATTAGAAATTATTTAACTAAACGTTTGCTTCAACTGTAAAACAAAGAATATAAAAAATACTAGTTTTTATAAATTAAAAAAATATATTGTCACACGGACAGCGACATTTTCTTAATGCCACAAAGCATACTGGGTAAATGATGACAATTACTAGGTGTTCTGGTGCAAGGCTGCAAGTTCTATCCTGCTTGAAGGTTAATTTTGGACAATATCTTACGTTCAGCCCTATTAAATGACACTAGAGTGCATTGACAGAGAGGAGAATGTAGAATGACTTAGCCTGAAACTGTAAATGATGATGGAGAACAACAGAGCTGCTTCATGGAAGAAGAACTTCAGTTTAGCTGGTTATCTTTGTGTTAGCACCCGAGCTAATARGGCAATATAGCGTTACTTCCTGAGCTAATATTGTTTTCTTGGAAACTAATGTCTTATATACATACTACTAATAAATATGTGGTATTAGTTTATAGCTAATGCTATATTGTCATATACTGTGTACATGTGGGTGTCTGCGTATACATATTAGCTCAGGTGCTAACATGAAAGCTAACAGCCTCGCACAGCCTTGAAACCCAGAAAACCCAGTAAACGTCATCATTTACCTGGTATGTTTTGCTCTAGTCTGGGTTCCCTTTAAGACATGAATAACAGTTCAAGTATTTTTCCATATTTTRAACATTGTTGTTATTCCACAGGAGCCCCAGGACCCCCTGGAGAGCCATTTATCACACGCTACAATTCAGCCCTGACCATTCACTGGACCAGCGGTGACCCGGGACGTGCCCCTATAACACGCTATGTCATCGAGGCCAGACCCTCAGGTGGGAGACTTGGATGATCTCCATGTTATTTTTAGCTGCTGTGACAACGTGAATAAGGCAAGCCATGTAAAACGTCGACATCTGCTGCCTCACAATCTGCGTCCCTGGTCTTTTAATGGCTTATTGATTCAGCAACTGCAGTTGAGAGAATTGGCATCCTGTTTCAGCTGCGAGTGACYGGCGCTGGCAGGAAGAGGAGGGTGATGGATGTCGGGTGTTTCACTGGGTTAAAACCTAAAGCAGTCCTATGTTTTAGAAGCTGAGGGCTGTTGAATAATGACACAGACACCTCTTCATCCACTCCTTTTTCTATTCATCAAGCAATGAATCTCTGCGTTGCAGAATGTGACGGGGTTTGTCCTCAAGTCAAGATACATCACCTTTTTTAAAACTTCTGTCAAATTTCAGCTGCGTGACAGATGAACTCAGGTCCTTGTTTATGTCTGTGTGCATCATTAAAAGTGTCACAGTTACACTGATATTTACAAGCAGCAATGCATAATAAATGATCTCTGGCAGGATTTTCATAGGAAGCCGCGAGTCATCTAACTCTGCCTCGTTTGAAAAATGGCCACGCCACTGTTTATATTGTTGATTTGCTTGCCGTAATTCCTTTTTTTTTACGAGAGCTGTAAAGCTGATGGATTGTGTAATATTTGAAGGAATTATCAATTACTCAGAGAGCTGCGAGCCTGCCAAATGCTTTCTATCAAAAAGAAACAAACAACCTGTTAGCTARGGTGCACAAACATTGTTTAAATGGTTTGGTGGCTGAATATTTCTGTGTCCTCTCGCCTGAAAATGATTGGTTTTTAATTCCGTTACAGATGAGGGTCTGTGGGACATCTTAATAAAAGATATTCCCAAGGATGCAATATCACACACCTTCAACATGGATATCCTCAAACAAGGCGTCAGCTATGACTTCCGGGTAATTGGAGTCAACGACTACGGCTARGGCTCTCCAAGCCTACCTTCTCCTTCCATATCTGGTGAGCTTTCATGTATTTGTTAATAAAACTGCATTACGTTACAATTCAAACTTAATTAAATCCCCTCTGGTCTTTAAGGACTTCACAGAAACATATCGACGTGTTTTTAACAAGCATGAATTTCAATTTTCCGCTTTTCTRGCGTTTAGCTCAGAAAGTGGCCCCGTTCTACGAGGAGTGGTGGTTCTTGGTGGTGGTGGCGCTMGTGGGGCTCATCTTCATCCTGCTGCTGGTTTTCATCCTCATTATCAGGGGACAGAGCAAGAAGTACGCAAAGAAGTCTGAATCAGGTGAGTGGGCAAAAATGTACAATTAACTGGGATGCGAACGCTTTTGTTTCAGAAGCGATGGCGTYGAAAATCAAGAATCTGATGAGTCGCTTTTAAATAACAAAAAATGTTTGTTAAAGGGACAGTTTGGCCATTTTAAAAGTGAATTTATGCCAAATGGTTAATAATAGTTGGTATTAGTGTTGGAGTCAAGAACACATGACAAGACCAGAGTGTACAGAGACAAGACCAAGATTTTTAGGAGCTGGACCAAGTCGAGACCAAGACCGAGAGGTCAATACTGAATCAATACCTGGACCAGAAAAAAAAACTAGTGCCTTAAAACATACCTGTTTTCATGCACATGCAGCAAAATTAGTATGTATAGGAAATACTGATTAAATCTCTTTGTGTGYGGGCCAAGTAAAGGATTTTGTTACCGAGGCAGATTGCTAATGTTAGCTAGCTAGCTCGGGTAACACCACGCATAGCTTAACTTTCTTAGTGCTTCCTTTCTAAGTYACAATAAAAGTTATCTGAAAGTGAAGCACTACAGAAGTCACRGTATGCTTTCTCCTGGARGTTGTTTTACAAATTTATGCTTTATGATTTATGRACCCAAATTGTATTGAAGGTATTTATTAGTTAGATACTGATTTAAAGRACCACACCATTTGTCTTGGTTTCCTTTTTAAGGCTTGACTTTTGTAATCTATTCTTTGACTATTGTAAMGTCCTGATTAAAATATTTTTAGGTACATGCCCAAAACATCATGACAACACYTAGAAATACCTTTATAAAGGAAAGATATTTTCTGTACGAGTTGCCTGCGATTCAGCCTTAGGCCTGTAGTGGGCGTACCAGGCACTGAAGATCCCTGTATTTAAAGACCGGTTTCAGGCAGCGCTGCTCGGATTGCTTCAGCGTAAGCAACAAAAGCTTCGCTCGTAACCAGATCTGGGTTGTATGGTTCCAATTCTCTTCACATTTTCATCTATTCAGTATTMATGTGGTTTTGTCACGATTTCAGTTAACGAACACGAAATATTCTTACTGAAGATTTTACAGACATCTTCTCCTATTCCCAGAAAACCACCGCTSACTTTCTTGGAGTGTGACGTGCGAGTGAAAGTGGGAGGGGATGAGCGACAGCGGTAACAAAATAATTAGCGATGAGTCACGCTTGGATTTGAATCAGTACGCTTTACATCCAATGAAAGCAAAGATGTTACCAAATACTTTGGACAATATTCAATTTAGTGATATTTCCACAGCTGTGGTCTTGGCTGGTCTTGAAATAAACTCCGGTCCTGAAAGCCCAAGACTGAGAAAAGGTCGAGTAAAAATGCGGTGGAGTCCGAGAAGAGAACAAGACCATTAAAAAGTGGTCTCGAGGCCTCGAGTACTACAACCCTGGTTGGTATCTAGTCAGCCACAGCACTAATCTGATGACCAGCTGAGAACAGTGGGACTGAAAAGCAGAGGGAGATGAGACAGTCAGTGCAGCTCTGATATCACCGGGTATTTTCCCTTAGCTCAGCACTTTTTCAGTTACTGTTTGGCTGCCGTTCAGGGTCGGGGGAGGGGTCCTCGTGGGTCATTGCCRGTCTTTCTAACTGACAGAGGAAAAACAAGAGGTTCCTTCTCCCGCCAACACAAAGGCACTCTCAGACGACACATTCTAGGAGTCTGGCCCAGACTACTGGACCCAACATGTTGGTTTTCTTTCCCTGAGTGTTTTCATAAACCACCCGTTGACCTTAAAGCAGCCTCAAAGCAGCCACAGWGGTCCAGGATGGCCGTGGAACCTCTAAAGCATTTGCTTTACTTGATAATCATCAAACAGTACCTCTTTTAATCTGCTGCAAAAAGGCAAACCTGTCATYTTCATTTTATAGTCGTAGATTTTTTATTCTTCATGATTATCAAAGCGTTTCTSTGGTTTTCATAATGACTACATAAAGAAAGTTATTTTTCAGGTCCAATTTGCCCTAAAATTAATGCCGTCTTTTCAATTAAGCCTGTAATTTTCATTCCCATTCTTTGGCTTCATTACTTGTTCTAATTTGATTTGGGCTGATTTGAACTCACTGGAATATTTCAGCGCTTTTGGAAGCAGTTTTATTAGGTTTTTAGCTTGGACTTGGATGTGAAAATCGATCCTGCACTTGTAGCTGTCTGCTCTGTACAAGGTTACTGCCTGAAACTGGTTAGATCAGCTAACATAGACTGGAAAAAGGGAAACACAGGAAGGCTTTCTGTGTAAGGGAACAAAACACGAAGTCCAGACAGCTGGCTGTTCCCTAAGGCTGCTGAGTTAACCAGCTGAATGCTCCTGCTAGGTTGTTTTTTTTTTTTTTTTGTAATACTGACTTTTTCTTCTTCCTTTTACCTTCAGCAACATAAAAAATAACTTTTCCCAGTATTTTTTTTACTTAGATCTTTGAATGTGAGAGTTTTACAACCCTTTGAAAGAAAAAAAACAATTTTATTCTATTCTAATTCAGGCTGTAGACCAAAAATTGTTATATTTGAGGGAAAACTCTCATTAGTTTAAATTTACCCTATACTCCCAAGCCATAATCCTGATAATAAACACGACTTCAAGGTTTCAGTTTCGTATCAAAACACTCCACGATTCCAGTTCACCAATCCATCTTTTGCCACTATTTAATCAAGYTGTTTTTGATTTGTTCTACTCTCTTCCTGATCATCTAGCTACAGTGCCCGTCCAGTGACACTGGATAAAAAAAAATCTCTTTGCCACAAGGTAAATAACGTGTGGCCATGAGAAAAAGACGTATGGCCACCAGATCATTTTGAGAAGCTTTCTTTGTGAAAGATACAGACGTTGGCGTCAGGTTTTTTTTGTGTTTAACTGTTCAAAGGTACCCT